GTTGCTGCATAAAGTTCGTTCAGAAATAGCTATGAGAGAACAGAAAAATGACGAAGTATTGGAATCACAATATAATGTAAGTCATAACCGTATATTGAACGATTTTTCAGCATATATATTCATTTCTTTTTTGCATGTGCAAATTGTTCGCAAGTAGAAAATACTTAACTGAGCTGTAAGTGAAAAGGAAAACTTTTGTTACAAAATAACTCGTCTTCTTACATTTCGTTCATTCTTCCGAAAGATATTGAATATTGGACAATTTCACCGAGTTTCTCCATGTTTTGTTTTCAGAAAGACGGTCAAAAAGGTGAACCTCAATCAGATAATCGGATGGTTCGAAACATTCATCGAGCACTGTTTCAGAATGAGCTTCCTGCATGTAATGAACTGTTTAGGTAACATTGTTGCCATACTTTATTCTTCGTAATTTTAATTTTTTTCACAAATTCTTTAAAGCTTGTAGTTGCAAGTAAAAGTTTAGGAAGGGTCGGATGGCTTATGTGATCGATCTGGAGGAAGAAGATAACGATTTGCCTACTACGCTACTACGATCCGTTCATGATTGTCCCGCAACGGAAAGTACTCATGATATTAATACCAGCAATATGCTTATTCAGGTAACTCAGCTTCATCTTGATAAGAGATGTAGTGATTACTTAACTAAGTTTTTTTCCTACTGTCTTTTATAATTTTCAGAAACTTACGCAAGTTCTCTCATACTTGCGCGCTGATACACAGAAGAAGAAGAAGAAAGTTGAAGGTAACGACGAGCATGCTAAGGTAGCTTCACAACCAATATTTGACGATCAGCGTGATTTTACTGCGAGGAATGACCGTGATCGAGAACGACGCGATCGGGATCGAAAACGTCTGAAACCTTCATCGTCAGTGTTAACATATCTTCATACTTTTCTTCTATATAGTTAATTATCAGTTCACTACTAATCAAATGCGGCATGACTTCTTTTGCATTACTGTGCTTTTCGGCGTTCCCCAAACAACGCATTATTGTCAAGTGAGACCTGATGCCTTTTATCGTCGAAAACTTTTTCATTAGCGAAAGAATTTGTTTCTTGTCGGTGGTTTATTGTTACTAAAGCAACGTAACATTATTTTTTGAAAATGAGATCATCAGTTATTTATTTCCCTCAATTTGAAATATACGAAAACAAATCAAATGATCAGTCTAGATTTTAATCCACAAAATAAGGCTTATGATTTGTAATTGTTTCAAATTTTCAAAACGATGTCATATTATCATTGTATGCATCCATCTATTTCGTAATTTTAAATCCAGATACTTTGATGATCGCGAGCCAGATCGTGACAGAGATAGGAATCGTGATCGTGACAGGAATCGTGATTACGAAAGAGGAAGAGATCGGGATCGAGATCGGGAACGTCGTACGCGAGAAGAAGAAAGGCGCGGCGAACGTCGGGAAGTCGTAAAATTGGTCGAAAATGATGCACCACCAGAAAAGAAGAAAAAAGTGCCCATGGAAACAGAAGGTTATGCGGAATGCTATCCGGGTGGTATGTATGAAGCTGCAGGAGAAAGTGATGACGAAGCTGATTATTCAAAAATGGATATGGTTAGTAAAAATGAGATACATATATTTTATATTCTTAAAAGTACCGTTGGACGATTTTCTTCCGTTCTTCCGCTAATTGACCGCATAATCTGTAGTCAGATACGGGGGGAGCTTAAGATTCTCTTATAGGATGATCTAAATGGAAGAACCGCTAAACACTTACTTTTAGAATTGGATTTTAAAAGAAATAAATATTAAGGGAAATAGACGAGGTCCAGTGAAACGTTGGGATTTCGACGATCACGAAGATTATGAGAAGTATATGGAATCAAAAGAAGCTATGCCGAAGTAGGACAGTATCAAAGTTAAATTATATGTAGTGGTATAGAAGACTGCAAAATTAAATCATTTGAAAATCCGGATCTGCAATAAGTTAAAAATAAGTTAAAGATACTTCCGTGCACGTAATTATTCAAAAGATCGTAGATCTTTAGCCAGCTTTTGATGTAATCATTATATTCACTATTTCCGTAAGCTACATTAATCCTATTACGGAACACAGTAAAAGGACCAGGTTTGATATTTTTATCTGTATTTTAGAGCGGCATATCAGTTCGGAGTGAAAACAAATGATGGACGGAAAACAAGAAAAAGTGCTCCAGATCGAGAAAAGCATAAATTGGATCGCGAATTCTCCGAAATAACTAAAATACTTGAAAAGCGGAAAATAGAAGGCCATAGATCGTAAGGTTTTACAGCAAGTTCAGTGTAAAAGTAAAAAACAAAGTATTACCTTTGCTATCCAAAACCTGTTTTCTAGAAAAAAATTGCGTATAATATAGATAGGTGTTACGAAATTAACAAATGTGCGAGCCGGATTATACCTTCGCTATCAGCTGTTTTTAATTAGTTCTATAGGTTTCAGCATTTTGAGTCTGGAAATATTTCCAAGAACGCAGCTAATTTAAAAATTTCAGCGACATTGCCAAACGAATTAAATACTGATTTTGGTGTTGTTGGCGGAACATTTCCCATGGAAGGTTGTTTTGGTTCAGAAGTTGTTTTGTATTTGAATAATGGTGTACTTTATATATTTCTTTTGGTATTGTCAATAAAACTATTCACTATCACTTATAAAATCACAAGGTTTTCAGTGGCACTTTCTTTTAGTTACAGAATAGGATTTTATATTGATTCCTATATTTAAATTGAATGGATTTCTTATTGCACCTTTCCTAAACACTTCTGATGAATATCAATTATGCAAGTCGAGAAACCGTCACGTGGACTTGGTTTCTTGTATATTGAAAATGACGCTGACAACACGCCCAAGAGTAAATCCCGAAGTAGGCGAGGAAATCTCGGTTACTTTTGCTGAGGACATTTGATTTCATGGTATCATCGCTGTAATGAGTCACCTTCAATCGTATCCCTTCATTGTTCATGTCCTGTCCAACTTGTTTTTACAGAAACATTACCGAGAAATTTCACGAGGAAATATGTTGAGCAATAACAGTGAAATTGGAGCCAGGTAATGTAGGCCGTAAAGATCTGAGAATGTACAACGACACATTATAGTTCATTAATAAACGAGATCCAGAACCTGTAACTTTTGTGACCGCCAAATAACTAATATAGGAAATCACTCTTCAATGTATTGAAGAAACAACATGGCTAAATCATTTTTATTTATGTACCCGTATTAGTGTTTTACAGTTTACACTTCTTTGATTTGAGAAAATATGCACATAACAAGAGGTACGGCATTACTGTGCTTGATAAAGAAGCTATACAAATGAATCAAAAAAGAATTTATGAATAAAAAGCATCTTTTATTTACCAATTTTACTAGCTCATTACAGTGAGCCAGTACTGTACCGAGAGCAATAAAATAGCAACACATAGAAACTGCAATAATTAAAAAGATGTTACGATGACTGAGATTTCTTTATACCCGTAAATATAGGTAAGGATCCTCCATTATACCATATGAATCTGTCAGGTATTAGGGAAACAATTAACTGGGATCAACTGATTAAATATTCACAGGTTGTCGCGGAAATATATACTGGTATTGTTCGGTGTACTCTCTAGGAGTGTACAAAACTTCAAAAGCTAAATTTTAGAAAAGTGCATGTATCAAGAGTTGAACTTTGGTACAATTTCATTTGAAAGTGACACATGATCAGAAATCTAACGAAATCCCAAACTTTGTTGAATGGAATGGAAGGGAACGAGACAAGAAACAATAGTTTATGTAGTAGTAATATGCTTCTGAACCACAATAATAATCGAAAACGGACAGTTCCTTAGAACAATACACAAGCAATTAAGTTTCACGACTAGGGTCAATGATCAAGGAATCACTGCACCTATTTTTGGAACTACTAAAGAAGCCTTTTGTGAAATATGCCAAGGATTTTAAAACTGAAAAACAATACGAAGTCAGTTCCTCCAGATCATGTTTCAACTTAACTAAAAGAATATAATAATGTTCCTTGATTCGAATAGAAATTGTGAGAGACTGCATGAAAAATCCAAAGTTAAATGCAAAATATAACCTATAACAACATAAAATCCATGATGTAAAGTATAGTTAACAGTCAGTCATCAAAAATGACGAACATCTCCTGTTTTGAATCAAAAGCGAAAACCGAACCGGAATCTGATAAAAATAGATTTCAGTTTATCATATGGGGAATACACATTTAGCAAATCAAATGGAAAGAGGAATGTGAGCTACACAAAAGTTAAGCTTCAGAATTTGTAAGGATTAAACTCAAAAATCATTATAACTTAGTCCCAAAAGAAAGAAAAATACAACAAATTATTAAAACATTAAATCGATCACTGTTATCAATGTAAAGAGATTTTGTCAGAAGGAAGCATTTAACACATCACAAAATGGAAACTGTGAACTTCAGGACATTAGGCTTCTAAAAAAAACTTTGCATCAAAGCCAAATTTTAACTACAAAGAAAAAATACGGTAACAAAATAATACCGAAAAATTCATTGTTCAACAATTACTGTCGGTCGCAAGCAAAATTTGCAAGATGGGGGTTTTGGGGCATCAACAAAATTATGCGCCCCGAAATGCGAGAATTAAAGTCAAAGATCAAAGTGATTCCCGCCGAAAAAAAAAGATAGGCAACAAAATGAAAAATACATAAAATCATCTATTGTTCACCAATGTAAATAGTAAAAGAATAGTTGAGACAATATAGTAAGATTGATACATTTCTCAATAATCAAAATTGTATTTTTTAGGAACATTAAAATTAGAAAAATAAGAACATTATCCTTTAGTGTGAAAAACACAATAGTTTGAATATAAAGTGCGAGTAATGACATCAAAAACGAAAACTTCAAGGATTATATGCTTACTTTATGAACTATGAATATATTACTACAATCGTCATCCCTTTCATAAGACCATGTTTGAAAAAACAATGAATATGCAGTCCAATTTGATTATCGTGACTTAAACTAGTTTTATCTAATATTTTCTTTTCCGTATCGTAGCTATCCGAACCTCCAGATTTAATGAAAATGCCAAAATTTAAGCGATAATGCTTGAAATGAATAGCTAGTTACTAAGCAATACTTTTCGTCAGTTGAAGAAAATTTCATTAAATCTCACCAGCAGCAACGGAGGCATTCATCATGGAAGTTCCGTCAAATTAGCGAACAGTTTCTGTAGCGTTACAGCAAGTTGTACACCATGGATTACTCGACTAAAAGTGAAGTGACGTAATGCTTGGATGTTTTCACCACTTAATTGTTCTGACTAATCCAAAATCACAAAACAACATCTTTCCAATAATAGTAGCCACAAGAATAATTCCTTCAGAAATCCCAATAAGGGAATGTTACATAACAGATGTTTTCTATAAACTTTGCTGCTGATACAAGTTATTTTACATGATGTTTCTTCCAGCAACTTTCCATCTGATCCATATGCTCCCTTCTTCAGTGAATTCTTAAATTTCCAATCACAATCTGGTCGGGAAGAAGTGACTAAACTAGCATACCGTAACACATCTGATAAACGTAAAAGATTATAAAGTGTGATAATAAAACATGAACAAACTTGTGATAATGAAACATGAATTTCTTGGCGCTCTCATGTTCCTCAAAAATAAGCGATACCGTATTCTCCGACGACCTCCACACTTTCTAAATAAAACAGTGATCAACGAAATACGACCTCGCTCTTATCAGTATGGAGGAAGAACCCTTTGTTGCACCAGTTATAACTCTAATTAAACGGTAACCCTAATTTACATAAAATGATTTTATTAGAACAAAAAACATTTCTAAAAAAGGAATTCATGAAAAAACTTCTGATACCTTGGTGGGCCCAACAGTCTCCGCAATGATCCTGATTCTGTCCACATTGATAGGAGCCTGATTAAGTGAGTTGACAATAACAGCCAAATAAGCCTTTTTCTTCCGTGCTCGTTCCGGGTTCTGCTCGTTTTCTCGTTTAGTACGACGAATTGATGTGACTGCAGCTGTTACAGTAGCAGTGGCTCCTGCTGCCGTTTGCTCCATAGTGGGATCATTTCCTGGCACTGTAGGTTCCATCTTTTGTACGACACTACTGTTCGTAGCTACACCTTTCTCCGCACAAACTGATGCTTCCAGTCGGCCAGTGTTAGCGGTTTCTCGTGAAACGTCACTGTTTGTGCCACTCACAGGCTCTTTTCTACCGTTTCGAATTCCACCACTTTTTCGTGTCTTACTGTCAAATTTCCGTTTATTAGAATGCTCTTCATCCATTCGTCGACAGCGTTCAATTCGTCGTTCACCAAAATTACCCGTACGACTCAACTGTCGTGCAGACTTCTGATCGGATATAGAAATTGGTCCTCCAAGACGTTGGACGGTTTGAATACGTCGTTCTTCTTTTTTTCGTAAAATCACTTCGCGCATTTTTTTCTGTTCCTCCAGCTTTGTTAAATACTCACTATCTAAACCAATCGCTTTCGCACATTCAATGGTCTTTTCCTGAAGCAGTTAGAATTTCAGATAAAAGGTGTTTCAAAAGCGTTAGAAAAAACGAATTTAGAGGTACCCGAATTTAGAGTAAACAACGAATTTAGAGGTAATTTAGAGCATAACTGACCTGCTTTGCTACATCATTTGCACGACTTCTAGTACGATCAGAATGGTATACTGGCTCTCTGTGACTATCACCAGATTGTCGCGAACGGTCTCCGGGACGTCGACGCATCATTTCATTCCTGAAATATGAATATTATTGAAAAGAAAAAAAAGTATATGATTTTTTTTCGCAATGAGATTGAGAAATTTAACGAATCTAAATTCAGTAATAAGCCTGCGAATAGTATATAATTTAATTTAGAAGAAGCTCCGCTGAATATTATCAGTTAATTAAATGTATGGAATAACGCTAGAAATTCCAACCTTGAACGATAATTAAATGGACGCCGTGAAGATGAACGGCGACTGCGAGAATGAACTCGGCGATAAGGTGAACGTGATGAGGAACGTGAAGATATCGTAGAACTTGAGGAATGCGATGAATAAGAACGCGATCTATGGATTAAGTCTTATAAAGTCAATTTAATTAGTCACATAACAATAACTCGACCTATTTCTATCTTAAAGAGTTCTCGTACTTGATTTTACAAGTGGTTTTTACAATGAAAGTCTCATTGTGCCCTCCATTTTCAAGTAATTAAAAAAATTTTCACATGCAGAACTTCACCCCAACTTATTACCTTAATTAACTGAATTCAGATGCTGATGTATTAAATTTCAAAGATGAATTAATCAAATCATACCTATGAATATTACATATTCAGCAAGAATTACAAAAATCACACTCTTCCCCAAAATAACTCTTGAAATAATTCGTAAGATGAACCTTGAACGTGAAGAAGAGGAAGAACGTGGTGAACGTGAGAAACGAGATCTGCTACGAGCCGTTGTGCGACGCAAAAAACCTTCCACCATTTGATCCCACTGTCCAACGGATGGGATTGGGCCAAGAGACTCTGCCATAAACTGATTGGGATAAACAGATGGAGGTGGTGTTGAATAATTCGGAAGTGGCATTATATGCGGTGGTGGACGCGAGAAATCTGTGGATGACGATGGAACAATCTGAAATGTTATTTGCCAAAAATGGGATGCTACGTGTGATGACGGATAAAATTAAATAATTTGAATAGATATCAAACTTTAAAGGAATCTCAATTTCTAGTCAAGATAAAACATTTCAAACTTAAAATATTTGCTCAAGAAATTCGAAAGGCCACTAGTGAAGTAACCTTCAGCGCACACTTATTTGTTTTTATCCCATATTTCTCTACTTCTAATAATATTTGGATATTACATTAATGTGAGAGTTATTTCTTCCTGGTAGCGTTAAAAGAGGGAGCTTATTTCTGAAAGTACGAAACAAGCTGTGAAATGTTAAATAACACTTGGAGCTTCAACGAGTGAAGCGGATGGGTGATAGTCAACATCTACAATCTCTTCAAAGATCTTACACCGACGAACACTCTATGAATTCCCACAAAGTATTACACAATATCATACAATATTTTTTGGTTATATCAAGCAGATTTCAAACTTTATTTTTCCACTGACATTCCGCTTTAAAAAATGTTGGTAATATAGTAGGAAAAAAAAAAACTTACAGGAAAAGGAATAGAGTGCGACACCTGTGGTAACATTGTGACGCTGTTCGGTAGTGGAAGAGCTACCGGATGTCGTAAGCCTGGAACACTGGGAACTCTGACTGCCGCTTCCCATGGTAATGGGACTGCAAATCGTTTACAGAAAATGAAGTTTATGAAAGCTTACGAGTAATGATGGTGGAATCTAAGATTTAAACGAAAATTCAGCAGCTTGAAATCACTTTTTAGTAACATTTTGATGTGGCCTACAACTTTGCGATTATGCGAGCTTTACAATAACTGTTTTCTAATAAGTATTCCACAACTACCGTAAGAACGAAAAACGTTTTAGCTCACTGGGACGTATACCAAAACATGTAAAACAAGAACTTATAACATTATAATAAAATTACCATCAAAAGACAGGGTAACATTTTACAGGAATTTAGAAAGTTCACAGTGCTTTCAAAATTTCAACGTTATTTATTGCCTGATAAAAGCAGACAATTAATTATCAAATCAAAGGATATCCTCACAACTGTGTGATGCTGATCTCTGTGGTCTGATAACGCCTCTATGATGAGGGTTGATGAAAACTTTCAGTGCACGAGTTGTGCTTGTTGTCGTACTGTTCACTGACTGTACTTGAGATGTTGGAGATGAGTGTTCTTCCAAACCTAACGGTTCAACCTTTAAAATTACACAGCATTAGGTTCCAAGTGCAATATTACACGTTTAAAATTAAAAGATGTAGTGCAGTTCCTTTCCTATCAAGTATAAAATTTAACCAATAAAACACATATATCCTGAAACATATATATTAACACGCTGAAAGGTATATGCTTCCTGATTAAACTAAAACCTAAACAAATTTCGATTGAGAATTGTTATATTTCAGAATTTCATGCATTTCATTTACTCATTTTATCCTAAAAGTGTACCAGCAAGATAAAAGGCATTTAAAATGAACAAACGAAAAAACTTTAAAAAAAAACGCATTACAGTGAGAGTATAGGAAAGTAAAACGTGTCACCGATTTGTTGGCTGAGATGTTGTTTGTCGGAGCATTTCGATTTTGATTTTCCTTTTTCGACGATGCTTCATTTAGTAAAGAACGCCTCTGCATTAGTGCCTAAAATACCAGAGGTTAGTGCAACCGTAAGGCATACTGGTATCTTTCATCACTTAAGAGTAACAATGCCGTTTTCCCTTAACTGAGACTATCCCTTCGAAAGTCGAAAAAAAAAAATATTGAAATTACCAGACCTACCCGCTCAGAAGTAAACTTAGAAGAACGTGGTGCTTTCTCGGCTTCCAAATCTTCGTCATAATCGAGTTCTTCGGTTTCTTCATGGTGTTCTACAACCTCGTCTTTAATACTTCCTTCCTCTTGAATATCATCATCACCCAAAATTGCCAATTCATCCAGTTCGCTTAAATTACTAACATCCTAAAAATGGCAACAGTGAATCAGATAATTATTTTCAATAAATTTTGGCTGGTCATATTATAATGTAATCAAAGTCTGGAGGAAAACTTGAACATCGAGTCAATTCAGTACAACGCCTCTCATATTAATTGTGGCAGCACAATGGAGAAGTATTTTGCGCAAAACGATGAGTAGGCTGTACAATAGAAGCATAAACTTACAAATGTACTCGGTGTTTCCAATAGTAATTCTTCTTCATCCATATTCTTCCGTTCTCAAGGAAATCTGATGCAACACAATAAAATTATAACATTTAAAGGTAACCATAAAATACTAACTCTTTTAATAGGTAGGAAAGGTTGTATTCGGGAAAAGAGAGGAACAGGACGATGAGAGAAACGGGAGCTACGACGACTTTCACTGGAATCTCTGCAGAAAAACGAGGCAAAACGGCAAAAAGGAAACGGTATTGTACTTATGAAGGATAAATGGACAATTCTTTAGGAACTAAATGTTTTCACTGTAAGTACTCTTATTATATTAGGGCAATCAAAGGCATCAAGAGGAATTTAACTTGCTTAACCTCGTGAAGGTAGTTCATATATGCTGTAAAAATAATAGGCTATGAGAAAAAACTGAGCTGACGAAAGAATCTAAATCAACTCGGTGCTATAATTATTGTTTTCAGAGAGTTCATCAAATACCAAGAAGCGCTGTTAAGAACAAAGCAGGGTCGACGTATGTGACCTCTACTTATTCTATTCTAAAAAAAAACGACACGTGCAGAGCAAAACAAAACAAACCTCAAACGTTTACCCAAAACTTAATCACCATAAGGTTTCAAGGATTTCAGGATTGCGCTCTGCTAAAATTTTATGTTCTAATTTCATGGATACTCAAATCGAACCGGTTATGAAAATTACGATCCCGCCCGACTTTTCTTCTAAGATGGGAGCTACTCTGGGAATTGACTAGTCTTTTTTTTTTTCGGTTTGAAGATGCAAGAGGATATTTTTTAAGTATCATGACATATACGTGAATAATTCATGTAATTTTGCCCTTAATATGTGGAAGGAAAATTTGCTGACATTCAGTGATTAGTTGCTGACAAGAAGACTTAATGATTAGATACTGATAAGAGGATGAAAAGATGGCTAAACTTTTGATAACTCATTATTTTGAATGAATAGAATATTCAAGAAAGGAATAGGAGTATGTGGGAGATATGTCAAATATTGTCTTTGCTAATATTACAATCGTCTTGATGATAATTAGGACCGGTGAGTTGAGAGCGAAACTGTTATCTCTTTTGTACAAGTGATTCTATTTTATTTCAGCAATAGGAAGTGATACATATGAGGCAATTTTTAATCAATGAAATACATTTTTTTTTCTTAAAAAGATTTCAAAGAATTATCATCCGAACAGATTCTGTCGCAGTAATTCTCTTTTTCATATTTTTGCAAAAATTCAATGATTGTTGATAGGATTTTCTAATTTCAAGATGTTTGCCTAGAATTTTTAAATACTTTGGAAAGAAAAGTTGCAAAGTTTTTGAGTAAAAAAAGTCATTTACATGTCCACGATAGTAGAGAACTGATAATGAAAGATAAAATGCAATGGACAATGTTTGGGAATTGATGATAATATCACTTATCTTTAAAGTTATTTTTCAAAAAAATAAATCCAGAATGGTACCGCTTATCTTTAAAACAAGAATGAAAAAAATTACTACAATTAGTTAATTAATTTTTCTGATGCTAACTGTATGAATTATTATCAGTTAAATCGAAGAAATAATTTGCTATAATATATGTTTGCTTCATATCAGTTTGTTGCTTGCTTACATGATGATCAGATGCTAAGTTTTGAGTTGGACAAAATGCTAATTAGTCAGTTAGCAGTTTATGTTAATGAAGTAGAGCAGAAAATCTGTGTAAATTATAGCGATATTTAAAATTTTGAATTTCGCTCTAATATGGATATAAAAAAAATGAAGAAAATTTAATTTAAAAAATTCACTTAATCCTTTAATTTTCAAAAAAGTTCATTTTAATTAAAATTCATTTAATTTTTAAGTTTCACTTTCATATATAGAACGATGGCATTATTTGAACGTTTTTGAAAGAAAACAAGAACTTACTTCAATACTTCTTCACTTTTTGCTAATTAACAGGCAATTAGTAATTTGAATAGGAGTAGAGCAGAAACCTTTGTGAATGATCGATTAGCAATTTTCCTCATAAAATTTACACAGCATATTTTAAGCAGTAAGAGTACTATTGGATAGTTTTATTTCTAAGTGTTATAGATCTTTTGAGAAATAACAAGTTAGGAATCTATCTATCAACCTTTACGAAACAAGTGAGGAATCAATTAGTTAATTAATTAATTTCATTATATCTCTTGATCTTTTAATCCTTTAATGATTGCAAGAAATCTTTACAGCAATTGCTGTAAATTTGTCTGTTTAAATAATGATTGCAGGAATGATATGATTGCATGTGTAATAGAACTACTGAACAGGTTTAGTATCATAATATGTCTTTAGTTTCAGGGTATCGTTGTATCATGCAGCAAAATGCAGTCATTTGGTGTTTCATTTTAAAGGTCATAAAAACTTAAATGGAAATCGATTAAATAGCAATGACAGCTAATTACTCAGCAATGTTCACAATTGTTTGAATCCAACATGATTGTTTAGAAAAAGGATGATTGGAAAGTACCTCTGAGTAAATTTTCATTTTATCATATTTGCTACAGAATTTCTGGCAGATAATATTACTTGCCTAGGAATGTATTTGATATGAGGAGGATACGATGAATAGATTACAATACTGTCTATGACAGTAAAAGGTTTCTTTTTATAAGATATCATTCGACAATATTATGGCACTAAATCCCATACGATCATTTTTGTACAAGAAACTGGAAGTTGCAACGTTTAACAACCTATGACCGTAATTCCCTCTCCTTTTTTTGTTCCTTACCGCTTCCCCTTTGACCTCTAGTCTTGCTTTATTCGATTATAAACCTCTTTCTATTCAGTAATATTTATTTATAAAAATAAAATTGAATAAATATAACGAGATAAGAGTGGAAGAAGTTTCTAACGATGAAAATGCTGTTTCTTCATCTGTCACATCTTTAAAAGGAATGATATCCTGACTTACCGTTTGTCCTTTATAAATAATCATTTTCATGAAATTCATGTGATCAGTATCGATCTATTTGATTGTTATAAAAGCTATCCAACTTAATTGATGAGGAGATCATATCTTGTTGTCTTTGATTTTTATCCTACAGGAAATATTAATTCAAGCAATTTCTGATATCAGTAAGACAATAACTTGGATAGATTGGAAAAATCTTGTCAAGATCGAGATGGATGGTGCAAAAATTTTGGTAGTCTAAGAAATCCATCAAGGTTACGTCTAAAATTTCCCATGCTAAAGTACAAAGATCAGTGTGTGGTTTTTTCTTTCATTTATTACTAAATGAAATTTATCTATTTTGGTTAATTATTAAGGAAATTACTTTACAACCAATTTATGGTAACCAAACGATGACTTACTTCATGAGTAATGTTGTAATATCCCGAGTGTGATAGTTTTCTACGATTACGATGACATCATATCGATTATTGTCCACTTAGCATATATATATATATATATATATATATAAAGAGAGGGAATTACGGAGGAGGGTAATTTTTAT